TGAGGTTTTTCTCTTCCTTTGGACCTCAACAAGCCCCACAACAAATGGCTGAAATTAAATATGAAATGAAATAATGTTGGTGGCTAATTAAAATTATGAATTAATTACTTACTTAGCCGGGATTTACATGTCGCTTGGCACAGCCAAAATCTAGGGTGTAGAAAACAAGGACCTTCTTGTTGGCCATTTAAAAGATTAGGAAGTCAAGCAGAGAACGGGGTTCGCGTTTATATGAAAATTAGCTGATATGCCAAAAGAAGTACTTAGCATTGTTACGAAAAAAAAAGATTACAACTTAAAATATTTGCCAACAACAACTGGCTGGTATGGCCACACGCACCTTTATGACCAACAACTAACTGACCAGCCAGCTAACCAACCAACCAACAAGTCAGCCCAACCTGTATGATGATGTGATGCAATCTCAGAATGTATTTTATTACCAACAGGGATTGTGGCAAAAAAAAAAACAAAAAAATCCTTTTAAATAACAAAAAAAAAAACAACAACAACAACAACAACATGAACCCCCTCATATCATTCGCAAGCTAGTTGAGCAGTAATAATACTCTTATCACCAGCATTACATTTCACTGAGTCACTCGACATACATTTTTTTCTCCCGCAATTGCGGTTTTCAGTTTTGGACACCGGGAAATTTTGTAAATGTGTGTGTGTACTTCAAAAATATTTTGAAAACAATGATTGAGAACTCTTTGCATATATTTCATTCGAAGAGAAAAAATCGAAAAAAAATCCGTCGATTTTTTTGGGTTTATATTTTTCTATAAAAAAAAATATCCGACCTCAGTTAAAGGTCAGAAGAACATTGTCAGGGCATTTATAACCTCAAGGACTTTTACAGGTCTTCTGTAGATAGAAGTCCTTTTATAGGACTTCGAAGGCCAAAAGAACTTTTACAGGTCTTCTATAACCTGAAAGATTTTTACAGGTCTTCTCTAGCCAAAAGTCCATTTACAGGTCTTCTATAATCTGAAGGACATTTACAGGTCTCATATAACCTGAAGGATTTTTACAGTCCTTCTCTGGACAAAAATCCTTTTACAGGTCTTTTGTATATAGAAGGACAAGTCAGAAGACCTTTTCAGGTTTTCTGTAGACAGAAGACCTTTTACAGGTTTTTGTACAACCTGAAGGACTTTTACAGGTCTTCAGTAGATTGAAGTCCTTTTATAGATCTGCTGTATCCGGAAGACTCTTGGTAGATAGAAGTACTTTTTTTAGATAGAATGACTTTTTCAGTCTGCTGTAGTTAGAAGACCTTTTTCTGGTCTTCCGTACCCAGATGGCGTTTCACAGGTCTTCTATAACCTGAAATAATTTTACAAGTCTTCTATAGTCAAAAGGACTTTTGTAGCCAGAGAACTTCTACAGATCTTCTGAGCTAGAAAATTTTTTTCAGGTCTTCTGTAGCTAGAAGACCATTCACCCGTCTCCTACAGCCCGAAGGACTTTTACAGGTCTACTGTAGCCAGAAGTCCTTTTTCAGGTCTTTCGTAGCCAGAAGACCTTTTATAGGTCTTCGGCAACCTGAAGGACTTATACAGACCCTCTTTAGCTTAACGTCCTTTTTCAGGTCTTCTGTAGCTAGTAGACCATTTACCGGTCTTCTATGACCCGAAGGACTTTTACAGGGCTACTATAGCCAGAAGAGCTTTATGTGACTTTTATAGTCAGAAGTCCTTTTTCAGGTCTTCTGTAGCCGGAGTACGTTTTATGGGGTTCGGCCTGATGGGTTATGGGTTTTCGACCTGATGAACTTCTCTGTAGCTGAAGTTCTATTTCTTTTGTATATAGAAGGACAAGTCAGAAGACCTTTTCAGGTTTTCTGTAGACAGAAGACCTTTGACAGGTTTTTGTACAACCTGAAGGACTTTTACAGGTCTTCAGTAGATTAAAGTCCTTTTATATGTCTGCTGTATCCGGGAGACTCTTGATAGATAGAAGTCCTTTTTTTAGATAGAATGACTTTTTCAGTCTGCTGTAGTTAGAAGACCTTTTTCTGGTCTTCCGTATCCAGATGACTTTTTACAGGTCTTCTAGAACGTGAAATAATTTCACAAGCCTTCTGTAGCCAGAAGGCCTTAATAGAACTTTTGTAGCCAGAGGACTTCCACAGATTTTCTGAGCTATAAGACGTTTTTCAGGTCTTCTGTAGCTAGAAGACCATTTACCGGTCTTCTATAACCCGAAGAACTTTTACAGGTCTACTGTAGCCAGAAGACCTTTATGGGACTTTTATAGCCAGAAATCATTTTTCAGAACTTCTATAGCCACAATACTTTTTATAGGTCTTCGATAACCTGAAGGACTTCTACAGACCCTCTGCAGCTAAAAGTCCTTTTTCTGGTCCTCTGTGGCCAGAAATTCTTTTTCGGATCTTCTCTAGCTGGAATACCATTTTCCATAGAAAAACAGCGACCTTAGGTCGGATATTTTTCTATAGAAAAACAGCGACCTTAGGTCGGATATTTTTCTATAGAAAAACAGCGACCTTAGGTCGGATATTTTTCTATAGAAAAACAGCGACCTTAGGTCGGATATTTTTCTATAGAAAAACAGCGACCTTAGGTCGGATATTTTTCTATAGAAAAACAGCGACCTTAGGTCGGATATTTTTCTATAGAAAAACAGCGACCTTAGGTCGGATATTTTTCTATAGAAAAACAGCGACCTTAGGTCGGATATTTTTCTATAGAAAAACAGCGACCTTAGGTCGGATATTTTTCTATAGAAAAACAGCGACCTTAGGTCGGATATTTTTCTATAGAAAAACAGCGACCTTAGGTCGGATATTTTTCTATAGAAAAACAGCGACCTTAGGTCGGATATTTTTCTATAGAAAAACAGCGACCTTAGGTCGGATATTTTTCTATAGAAAAACAGCGACCTTAGGTCGGATATTTTTCTATAGAAAAACAGCGACCTTAGGTCGGATATTTTTCTATAGAAAAACAGCGACCTTAGGTCGGATATTTTTCTATAGAAAAACAGCGACATTAGGTCGGATATTTTTCTATAGAAAAACAGCGACCTTAGGTCGGATATTTTTCTATAGAAAAACAGCGACCTTAGTTCGGATATTTTTCTGTAGAAAAACAGCGACCTTAGGTCGGATATTTTTCTATAGAAAAACAGCGACCTTAGGTCGGATATTTTTCTATAGAAAAACAGCGACCTTAGGTCGGATATTTTTCTATAGAAAAACAGCGACCTTAGGTCGGATATTTTTCTATAGAAAAACAGCGACCTTAGGTCGGATATTTTTCTAAAAATATCAGACCTAAGGTCGCTGTTTTTTTCTATAGAATTATATCAGACCTAAGGTCGCTGTTTTTTTCTATAGAAAAATATCAGACCTAAGGTCGCTGTTTTTTTCTATAGAAAAATATCAGACCTAAGGTCGCTGTTTTTTTCTATAGAAAAATATCAGACCTAAGGTCGCTGTTTTTTTCTATAGAAAAATATCAGACCTAAGGTCGCTGTTTTTTTCTATAGAAAAATATCAGACCTAAGGTCGCTGTTTTTTTCTATAGAAAAATATCAGACCTAAGGTCGCTGTTTTTTTCTATAGAAAAATATCAGACCTAAGGTCGCTGTTTTTTTCTATAGAAAAATATCAGACCTAAGGTCGCTGTTTTTTTCTATAGAAAAATATCAGACCTAAGGTCGCTGTTTTTCTATAGAAAAATATCCGACCCAAGTTCGCTGTATTTTCTATAGAAAAATATCCGACCTAAGGTCGCTGTTTTTCTATAGAAAAATATTAGACCTAAGGTCGCTGTTTTTCTATAGAAAAATATTAGACCTAAGTTCGCTGTTTTTCTATAGAAAAATATTAGACCTAAGTTCGCTGTTTTTCTATAGAAAAATATCAGACCTAAGGTCGCTGTTTTTTTTTTCTATAGAAAAATATCAGACCTAAGGTCGCTGTTTTTTTCTATAGAAAAATATCAGACCTAAGGTCGCTGTTTTTTTCTATAGAAAAATATCAGACCTAAGGTCGCTGTTTTTTTCTATAGAAAAATATCAGACCTTAGGTCGCTGTTTTTTCTATAGAAAAATATCAGACCTAAAGGTCGCTGTTTTTCTGTAGAAAAATATCAGACCTAAAGGTCGCTGTTTTTCTATAGAAAAATATCAGACCTAAGGTCGCTGTTTTTTCTATAGAAAAATATCAGACCTAAGGTCGCTGTTTTTTCTATAGAAAAAATATCAGACCTAAGGTCGCTGTTTTTTCTATAGAAAAATATCAGACCTAAGGTCGCTGTTTTTTCTATAGAAAAAATATCAGACCTAAGGTCGCTGTTTTTTCTATAGAAAAAATATCAGACCTAAGGTCGCTGTTTTTTCTATAGAAAAAATATCAGACCTAAGGTCGCTGTTTTTTCTATAGAAAAAATATCAGACCTAAGGTCGCTGTTTTTTCTATAGAAAAATATCAGACCTAAGGTCGCTGTTTTTTCTATAGAAAAAATATCAGACCTAAGGTCGCTGTTTTTTCTATAGAAAAAATGTCAGACCTAAGGTCGCTGTTTTTTCTATAGAAAAAATATCAGACCTAAGGTCGCTGTTTTTTCTATAGAAAAAATATCAGACCTAAGGTCGCTGTTTTTTCTATAGAAAAAATATCAGACCTAAGGTCTCTGGTATTCTATAGAAAAATATCAGACCTAAAGTCGCTGTTTTTCTATAGAAAAATATCATAACTCAGTTCACGCCCTTGGGATCGGTGTTTTTCTATCTAAATAATCTGACCTCATTTCGCGCTGAAGTCTCAGTTTTCTTTCAGAAAATACTCCTTTTTCCCACATGAACGGAAATCAGATTTTTTCTATTCCAAATATACTAAATTACTCAAAACCGAATTATTTTGATAAATTATCTCTGTCATCTCTGGCTGACAAATAATGTCCCTTGATCTGGATTTTTCATCTTCATTTATTCCGCCTTTCTTCGTCTTCTTCGTCTCATTTCAGTTGTTATGCATAAGGAAAAGGAGGAGAATAGTGGCAATTCAGTTTTACCTCATATACACGCACACGATGGCTATCGGACACGAGAGTTGGGAGCTTTCGAGCATGGCCTATTAGATGGTGATATGTTCCTGCAGGTAAGAACCGTAATAGATGTAAGACAACACACACACATACACTTGTATAAATATCTATCCAAAGATAGATTTTCTTGATTGGTTATTTGTGATTACCGCCAAGCATTTGACAAATCGTAAATTGTTGTAATAGAACCCCAGGCCTATCATGATTGGGCATAAGAAAATAAGCTGGTATAACTCGCCATGAGAAGCTTGTAGAAAAAGCAAAAAAAAAAAACAGTAGCCGTATATATGTTTAATAATTAAATTGATGTGTTAATTAATTATTTAATTAGTATTGGAAGTGGAGGGAGGACAGAGTTGTTTGGCAGACAAATAGTTATTCTGACATTTCATTTCTTACGTCTTCCACTTCTTATTCTATTTTGGATGAGTTAATGAATGCCTGAAATTTCATGCAATACCAGCGAATGACTGATTATGAATAGACGAAAAAAAGAAGAAGAAGAAGAATGCTAATGACAAAACCACAAACTTCATTTACATTTGATGAAGACAAATTAGATGCGGCCTACCCACCAACGATTGATTAGCGTTTGAGGGCATAATGGGGTGGGGTGGGATGAGAGGAGGCGAAACATATGGTATAGAACTTTTGACGTCTTTGCCCAAATTTTTGCCATCAGTGTTATCAATCATGGGGAAGCCTTTGACTAGCGGAACGAAGATATGTCCTTGGCTCTTGAAAAAAAATGACCTTCACAAAATCGACGATATTCGTCTTATTCTGGATTGGGAAGCTTTGACTAGCGGGACGAAGATATGTCCTTGGTCCTTAAAAAAATGTCCTTCAAAAAATCGAAGATCATTCATCTTATTCTTAAAAAACGCAAAAAATCCACCATCATTGGACTTTTGATCCTTGAAATTTTATTTTTAAAATATCGTGGATAATTTGCGTTTTCGCCCTTAAAAACCAAGATTGTTTGCCTCCTGATCCTTACAAAAAATCTTTCAAATTCATTTCTATTTTTATGGCCTTTTAAAACCGTTCTTCATAATTCAAGATTTTTGGCCTTTTGGCTCCTGAAAAAGTATTCTTTAAAAATATATTTCTCTAAATAACATTGATTATTGGGCTAGAAAAAAATATATTTTAAAAATCGCCAAAAAATATAAATGAAAAATATTCTCAAAAAATGTTCTAAAAATCCACGTCGCGTGTTCCATGAAGATATATCCTTTATTAAACAGTCTAATTTCAAAAAATCCACGATTGTACGTCCATAAAAAAATAATTAACCAGTAAAGAAAGTCTTAAAGTCGGGCGGGGCCGACTTTATGATACCCTACACCACTTTGCTAATTAAGTAGAGCTCCACATAACAATTAAAAGTTTTTATGGGAGAATTCAATCATACACGCCATGATTATAATTATAATTTAAAGTTCAAAGGACTAAATATGCCGAAGCATTTGTATCTTTTAAATTCGGACTTGTATTGCCCATTTGGTGCACAATTAATTTGAAATCGGATAAAAACATAAATTGGAGCTATATCCCAATCGGAACCGATCTCGATTAAATTTGGCAACAATATTTCTGAGCTGTATTTGTTATATTTCTCGTTGTTACGGAGTGCATATTACGGTTGTAGGTAACAAATATAACAAATCGGATGAATAATATATATGGAAGCTATAGCTATATCTGAACCGATCTTCAGCAAATTTTACATACTAGCTTCTAGACCCAATTCGGTAGTAAGTGCCAAATTCCATCCCATTTGGACAAATATTAGACGTTTGGTGCACAATAAAAGGTAAATCGGACGAAGTTATATATGGGAGCTATATCCAAATCTGAACCGATCTCGATAAAATTTAGCAAATGTATATCTAAGTTGTATTTGATATATTTCCCCAAATATTTTTGTTGCAGAGTGCATATTACGGCTGCGGAGGACAAAAATAACAAATCGGATGAACAATATATATGGGAGCTATAGCTATATCTGAACCGATTTCGATCAAATTTGGCATACATATTTTTAGGCCTAATTTGGGTGTATATGCAAAATTCCATACAATTCGGGCTGATATTACACGTTTGGTGCACAATAGAAGGCAAATCGGACGAAGATATATATGGGAGCTATATCTAAATTTTGACCGATTATCTCCAATTTCAATAGGGTTCGTCCTTGGGCGAAACAAAAGATCTTTGCAAAATTTCATCTGGATCGGGCAATAAATGCGACCTGTACTTTGTTTACAAAAATACATGGACAGACGGACAGACAAACAGACGGACGGACGGACATGCATAAATCGACTCAGAATGTGATTCTATGCAGATCATCAAAAGGAACTATGGGTCTATCTCGTTTCCTTCTGCCTGTTACAAACAAATGCACAAAGACATAATACCCTGACCACCTTGTGGTGTAGGGTATAAAAATCGGTTGAGATTCAAATTTAGTACTATGGAGTACAATTGTAGTAGACATGTCAAGGACCACCTCTATTTCTTAACCACAGACACCAACAGTGACATCTATATTAAATTTGAGGATTCTAGCCCTACTCCTTTACCGCATACCGAATTCAGTACCATTTAGTACTTTTCGTGCAATTATAGTACACATTTCCAAAAACACATCCATATCTCAATTCCAGATACCAACAGAAACACTCATATCCCTTCACCCAATACCAAATTTAGTACCATTTGGAACAAATGTAGGATGCATAGTCAAATCACCGTACACACAGTACACATTTCCAAAAACACCTCCATATCTCAATTTCAAATCCCGAATATGATCTCAGTATCCAATTTGAGGATTCCAGCCATATTCCTTTACCCAATACTAAAATTTTGTACTTTTCATAGAAATATAGGACGCATTTCCAAACCACAGCCAAATCTCAAACATAGTAATCTAAATATCAAATTTCAGAATTTTATCTCTATCCCTTTACCCAATACCAAATTTAGGACCATTTAGTACTTTTCGTACAATTATAGTACGCATTTCCGGAATTACATACGCATATCCAGGCTACACATGAACAGCGACCCTAATATCAAATGTCACTTTTCAAGCACTTTCTGTCCACTCAATACAAACTGTACCAAATAGAGTACTATTTAGGACTTTTCGGGCTTTCTCACATATCGTATATCAAACTTACTTTCAAACCTTGATTCTCAAACCAAACTTTAAGTTTTTAGTTCTATCCGTTCTCATAATACCAAATGGTACCATTGTAGAGGTGTAGTACCATTTTAAAAACTTTCATGATCACAAAGTTCGAAGTTCTAAAATCCCTTTAGTACATCTAAGTTTCAAATTTCAGAATTCTCATTCCATGGTACCAAATGGTACCATTTTAGTGTCTTTTGCGTAACCTGTAAATTCGAATTTCCAAATACTTTTTGGTACATCTACTCTGCACTCCATTAGTGGCTATCATTCCAAATATCAAATTCAATACAACGTATTTAATTTTTAATACTTTTTATGGTTTCTTTTAGTATGAATTTCCAAAAATTTCAAGATCGTGCGAATTTTCAATATTCTAGCCTCAGGGCGTTGATTCCAATCGAGTCAGTCAGTTATTTAACTACTCAATTAATAGTCCCCATTAAAACATTATTTAAAAGAGCACTATTTTTTGGTCCTTGAAAATAAATTCTTTTAAAAATATCCGAATTTTGGGAAAAAATATTGTAAAAAAATTTCTTCTTAAATATTATTAAAAAAAATTAAATCTGCATCTTATGGTCTTGTAAAGACAGTCCTTAAAATCCCGCGATTACTGCTCCATGAAAAAATATTTTTTTAAATAAATCCCCAATTATGGCTCGATTGTCCTTAAAGAAATATTCTTTAAAACCCCTAAGAATCAACATTCATTGGACGGATATTAAAAAATATCTCTGGGAAGTCCATAAAAATCCTTAGCAAAAAGCACCTTCAGAACTATGATAGTCTTTGATGTAGGGAAAAAAGAAGAAATTATTTTAAGAATATCCGAATGTTGGGAAATAATATTAAAAAAAAAATTATTGGCTCTTGAAAAAATATTTAAAATAAAATCCGCGTCTGATTGTTCTGATTGTTATTCCCGACTATTGGTCCTTGAAAAAATATTCTTAAAACCCCTAGATTATTGATCCTTAAATATATTTTTAAAAAATCCACATTTATTGGAGGGTTGACCCTTAAAATCTATCTTTGGGAAGTCCTTTAAAATCCTTGAAAAAAATCCTTTCATGATCGCAAAGTTCGAAGTTCTAAAATCCCTTTAGTACATTATTATTTAAAAAAGTACAATTTTTTGGTCATTGAAAATAAATTCTTTTAAAAATATCCGAATTTTAGGAGACAATATTCTAAAAAAAACTTGCTTCTAAAATATCATTAAAAAAAAATTAAGTCCACATCTGATGGCCTTGTAAAGACAGTCCCTAAAATTCCGCGATTACTGCTCCATGAAAAAAATATTTTTTTTTTAATAAATCCCCAATTATGGCTCGATTGTCCTTAAAAAAATATTCTTTAAAAACTCTATTCTTTAAAACCCCTAATAATTAATATTTATTGGACGGCTGACCCTTAAAAAATTTCTCTGGGATGTCCATAAAAATTTTTAGCAACAATTTATATAAAATCACCTTCAGAGCTATGATAGTCTTTGATGTAGGGAAAAAAGAAGAAATTATTTTAAAAATATCCGAATATTGGGAAATAATATTTAAAAAAAAATTATTGGCTCTTGAAAAAATATTTAAAAAAAAATCAGCGTCTGATTGTTCTGATTGTTATTCCCGACTATTGGTCCTTGAAAAAATATTCTTAAAACCCCTAGATTAATGATCCTTAAAGGTATTTTTAAAAAATCCACATTTATTGGAGGGTTGGCCCTTAAAATCTGTCTTTGGGAAGTCCTTTAAAATCCTTGCAAAAAATATTTAAAAAAATGTACCTTCGGAGCCTTTGAAAAATACGTAAAGATGTTTCCATAACAAAAAAAATCATAGCCCTTCC